AATTTTTGTTAATTAAGTCTTTTACAATCTATAGCTGGTATAATAATGTATCAAAAACAATAAGTTAATGAATACAAATCAAGTTGATATTGACTGGACATCTACAAATGGAACTTTTGGTCTGATTAATAATAATAAAAAACATTCTAAGAAGAAAAGAAGTGTTTTATTTGTTTTAAGAGTCTCATAACAAAATTTAGGAAATTTGACAACATAAAAAGTTCTATATTTTTCAGCTGAAACTAGATACTAATAAGTTTGTCTTAACTTTCATGCAGTTTTGTTTAACATCTCCACTGTGACAAAGAAAAACCAAGAGATATCAAAGACCTACAGAGGGTTAACCCATGATGTTAGAAAAACATGTAAGTTCAAGACGTTTTGATAGAAATGAATAAAAACCCTATAACTCGAGCACTTTCGAAAGCACTCGGGTTATAAGGTTTTATCCATTATCACATAGGGTTAAGATATTCTGATTCTATTAATTCACAGTTATTTTGTTTTGGAATACATCTAAAAAAACTCATCCACTGGAGGTCAAAATTAACTTCATTCTTAGCAAGGCAAAAATAATGTGCATCAGTAGTAGGGACAAAGGGTGGGAAGGTATGCAGAAAGGTAAGCATCAATAAGAAATACATGTTCAAATATTAAAAATATTAACTTCTGAAAGATCCAATTAGCTCTTTGCACACAGTAGCCAGAATCCACTTTGATGTAGTGGAAGAGGCCTGTGCAAAAGAGAAAATTTAGATGATCTCCCTTCTAAGAAAGAATCAGAAGGGTGAAGCCCACGAAGTATGACATTCAATAGCAGGGCCTTACTAGTGGGGCAACACTTATGGAAGTCCACATCTTCCTAGGGTAGGTTATACTCTTCACATGGATGGAAGCAGAAAAGTAGGACAGTAAAAATGAGCCAATGTGTTGCGGGGATACGCAAAAAAGTACATGACTAACTGAGCATTTGCTCACAACAAGTTGGATGGACATGAGGGGTAGTTTGGCTAGGGCAATAACTGTACTGCTTGGTATTGTTCTGTTATTTAATTTACTCACCATACAGACAGGAATAGGGAGAAAGGTCATACACAGTGAAGGATACCCAGGACAATAGGGTTAAAAAACGAAGTAGTAGAAAAAATAAAAATTAAATGTTCTCTTTTTCTGAAACTACATACTTTTATGAACCCTATTGTCAAATTTTAAACAATTTCTTCCACTAGTTTTATTTTTGGAATGAAATATGATAAAAGTGACATTTCTTATTAAGAAAATTAGTAGCCAGTAGTTATAGTAATAAAGGTGGGAATGAATGGAACAATGTCCCTCACGAACCACTGAAATTTTGGACAGGAAAGATTGATCAAGATAAAGGAGAACATTTGTGGGATGTAACAAAGTATGTGAAATGTTGATGGAAACATATTAGACTGATGATGACCACAGGAAGTAGGAAATAGGTCTTAAGGGATAGGTGAAATATGGAACGTGAGAACAAAGATTCAAAAGGAGGGAATGTAAGGCAGTGAAGAACAATATTGACATTCCAAACTGGAAGAATTGTTTGACAAGGAGGTCTAAGAATCAAGAAGGAATGCAATAAAAGAGAGACAGTAGGAGAGAAAAACATCAAATGGTACCAGGAAAAATGAAAGGTATTGGATAACCAGCTATGGAAGAGACAGAAGCCCCATGACTGAACAGCCAGGTTAAGAAATCTGTAAGATGAGGAACAGTGGGTAAAGACAGAGAAAAACCCCTTCTCAATGACCAATGGCAGAAGATGTTCCCTTTATTTTGATAAAACTCAAGAGAGGAAGGGCAAATGGGCTATCCTACAAGGGAATTGACACACCTAGACAATTTGGATCTTCTTGCCAGAGATCTGATAAATGCTAGGCATGAAGTGGGAAGGGCAGATTGAAGGGCTGATGACCAAAGTTAATGGAGTAGAGAAAGGAAGAGACAATGAGGAGGTAGTTTGAAGTTGAATGAGTAGAGGAAACCATGGTTGCACCAACCAGTAAGGAGCAATCAGAAGGATCTGACACAGAGTGGCATGGTTGATATAAATCATCCTGGGAAGGAGTCAGATGAGAGGGTAAACATAAAAGTATCAGTTGGTCCAGTCCTGATTGAGATCATTCAGAGCCAGGAGCTGAGGATGAGGAACTGGAGACCAAAAAAGAGGTAACTTGGTGTTGAGGAAAATGGCAACAGCATCCATGTGAGGAGTACCTCACAGCTTTCACAACCATCTGAAAACCTGAGGGTCAAGAGACCACTTTGTAGAATAAACCTAGTTGAGCCTTAAAAGATGATCTGCAATGAGGTTGAAAGCACCCAGAACATGACACATAAGGAGACTTATTCACAGCATATGGGCCAAAAGGGAATTTGTGTCCCCTTAGTGATTGATATAGGCCATAATGGTGGAATTGTCTGAATGGATCATGACGTGTCGGTTCTGTACCAGAGGAAGGAAATAATCCAAAGCCTATCGTAACACCAGAAGCTCCAAGATGTTGATATGGTAAGACTTTTCGATTTCAGACCATAGCCTCCTGCTGACTGCCCCCAACCTTGGATAGAAGCACCTGTGAATAGATGTAAATCCAGATGAGACAAATTAAGAAAGTACTCCTGTCATTGTGTTGTCCTTGTTCAACCACCAATGCAGATTGTCTGTAAGGGAAGCAGGAAGGGTAATTGGGAAGTTCAAGGGATCTTGAGCAAGATTCTATTGGTCAGGCAGAGTCCACTGAAGAGAATGCATATGTGCTGACCCAAGGGGATAAGGGCTTCCACAGAAGCCCATGTCCCCAAAAGTGATAGAACCTCACATGCAGAAATAGAGGGAGCAACAAGTGTGTGGAGATTTGACAGTTCCACTGAATGGAGACAAAGAGAAGAAGGTAGGAATCAACTGAGGTGCATTTTGAAAAATACACTCAAGTGGATAAGATATTGGATAGGCAAAAGCAACGACTTCTCCAACTTGAGAATCCAACCAACATAAGATGCTTCTGTCAGTAGTAGATGTGTGTGTGTTGAGAAGACTCCAGTTTGGAATCAGTTAACAGGAGCCAGTCATCCATGTAGTGGTGTAAACACAACCCTTGAGCATGCAGAAGTTAGGCGAAGGCTCTAATCACCCAGCAAAATACATACAGTGTTAAAGCAAGCCCAAAATACAAGGCACAAAACTGATATACAAGCCTATAGTGTACAACCAAAAAAAGATTGTTTGGACTGATGAGATATAGGAATATGGAGATAAGCAATCGAGGCATCTAGCTTGGATAACCACAATCCTTGAGAAAAAGCCCATTTCAGTGTGAGAAAGAACTTCATGGTAAAGTGGGGATAATCCACAAGTTGGAGAGATGGGACAGATTGATCACAGGATGCCTGTCTCCAGTTTTCTTGGTGACAACAAAAAGCCGGGAGTGGCTGACAGGCTAAATAGCTCTCTGTGATAAAAGAGTATGCACAGCCTCAAAGAGATGCTGACTGGTAATGGGATCTCAAGGTAACAGGAAGGAAATTGGTACAGGAGACAACTGGGCAAGGAAAGGAAATGGATAAAGAGTCCTTCCAACAAAACTTGGATTACCAAGGATTGGTAGTGAATTCCTGCCAAAGGGTAATAAAATTGGCCAATTGCACCCCCATTGGACCTGAAACCTCCTTATAGTCACCAGAACTGCTGGCAATGTTAAATTCAATGTCAAGACACACTACAAAATGATGAACCCCTAGTGGTAGGAACTGGAAAGGACAATAGGAGGGTGGAGCACAAGAAACAGTTATGAGAGAGAGCATGGGATTATATGACGCAAACAAACAACCAAAGTTGAAAGTGTCAAATGTTGTCTCACAGGTTCCACATGCAATTCCAAAGACTCAGGAATATCTCCAAAAACAAACTAATGGATAAAAGGAGCCATCCATAAGTCCCAAAGATAGGTAGAAAGAAGATGAACCTGTGACAAGACAGCGTCCCTCCTAAGAAGATCCCAGCAGCAAAGATACCACATGTGAAGAGACAGGACAAATGAGGACATTCTTGCCATAGTGGAGATAATGAGGGAAAGGGTATTCCCTGAAAACCCCAAAGTGAATCGATGGAGCACCTCAGAAAGGAGGTGTATGGTGGACAAGTATCATAGGAGAGCTGTAAGGTGAGAAAACTGGCCATGTAAGAAATGGATATAATTTTAAAGGTCACCCCCCCCAACACACACACACACACACTCTTGTGGTGTGTGGTGGGATAATTAGTTAGACACAGGTTAAACAGCAGTAAAACAATAAATTTAAGTATACACAGATGTATACTGTTATGAACTTTAAGCTATTGGGGATAAACAACTGTAATTTCCTTTTGTAATTTGCAGTTACTCTAGAAAGAAAAAAGGGTAATTTAGATTTATTTCATATGTTTTTATAGTGTTTACAAGGTTGGTCAAATTGACCACATACATATAGAGTTAGGATAGAGAAAATAAGAAATAAAATATAAAGTTTTCCTGAAAAAAAAAAGTTCGATATTTATTTAGTAGGTCTTAGAGATTATACAGATGAAATTTTACAAATTTAAGACACAGCAAAGTATTTTTAATTTAACATGAAATTAAAAATACATTGTACTCAGAGCAGTCAATGCTCTGACTCCATACATTTACAGAAACTTTTTTAGTAAAAATACTTAAAAAATCTGATTCTTTGTATACAAAAGACTTGTAATGTTTACTGAAAGCTTGCCAAATTTTGTGAAAATATATAAAACATATTAAAAGCTATAGTATATAAAACATATTAAAAGCACAAAAACCAAAAAGAAAGGGTGGGGGTAACAATTAACAAAGTACAAAGAAAGGAAATGAATGTGATAAATCTGCAGCAAACTGGTACAGATGAGATATTCTGGAGAGAACAATAGTTTTTAAGTGACAAAAGTCATAGAATTCAATGAGTAAGTAAAAAGTTACCTTGATAAGGTTAGTAACAGCTTTACTAACAGCCTGAACAGGCCGTTGTAAATCAGGCATTGCATTTCCATCTTCTGCTTCCTCATGAAGAATAACAAGTCTTGAAACCTGGAATACATAATGTGTGTGAATAGTATAATCTTTAAGACCATAAAATATGAAATAAAAATATGTACTGTTTGCAAATTCTCTAAATAAATGTTAAAGTCAGATAAGAAATATACTTACTTTAATCTCTATAATTTAGTATTAATACACTTTTCACCCTCTTGCTAGCTAGCATTACCTTACTTAAGAAAATCTGGAAACATATAATAAAACCTTTTTGAAAAAAAAGAAAACTATATTCAAAAACGGAACTGTTGTACAGGCAGATACAGGAGGTAAAAAAAGAAAAAACAGTTCATCATGTGTTTGAAGTTCTGTAAAATTAAAAATTTGACATTAAGAATATATATTGAACAGTTCATCTATGTTACTCTTGATATTCTATAAACTTAAAACCTCCCACTTACCAAGAACTGAAAACAATTAGTGAATATTAATACAAGTTTCCTTAAGTTTTCTAAACTTCAAATCCTAAAACTTCAATGCATGAACATAGAAGGCAGCGACTTCCCATATAGAAATGCAAACACTGCTTAGATTTTATTCATGTACTTACAAAACTCAGTGTTACCAATCAATCAGCTACACATACTCTATACTAAAGTTCATCTCTACAAAATATGATAAAGATTACAGGATAATTTCATTACTCAAGAATACATATTAGAATACAAGAGGTATATGTAAATAGAAAGACTAACATAATACTTTAATACCAAATACTAAGAAATTTTTGAACAATGCCAAAACCTTTTACAACAAATAAATAACTTACAATTCTTAACAAACAGGTTAACAAAACAATAACTAGTCACATCACTAGATAATAGAACAGAAGTATCCAATTTATGCTAATACAAGTCATTTCATTATTTAAGAGAAATAAGCTAGTTCAATGTACTGTATACCAAAATCTGTAGCATTAGAGATAAAAAAAAATATTTCAAAGTATTAATTTTGTATTATGTTTTGTAAAAACTAACATTAATGAACAACATTTTAAATAATCTGACATCAAAGGTCTAAAAAAATAAAAGGACTAAGAAAAGCCATTCTGCTGCAAATTTACTGAATTATTATGTACCATAATTATATTAGTTTTCATTTTTATATACTGTTTACTTTGTGTGGCTGTTATTGATTCTGGGTTAATTTTCAATAAGTTGAATAAAATACAAATTAAATTATACATGCATGTTTATGTGTTATCTAATTGATTTATACAATTTATGAATCCACAGCTTATAGCAAGGATGACACAAATGGATAACAAAGGCCACTGTAACTATTATACAATAACATACCAATTAAAAACAGGGAAGTTTTATAACAAACAGTCAAACAAAAACTGGAGTCACTGACAATTCAACTGCAAACATGTAATGTAATCATACCTATGTATTTAAACTAATATGCACAGTATAAATGAATGATTTTTATTTGGAATTTAAGAGATGTAGTTTATAGATTATGAATTGCATCAATATGTTGTATACAAAAAATTGATCATTCTTTTTATTAATAGAATATTTTCTAGAACTTGTATATATTTCAAAAACCAAAACAATAGGTAAAATATATGGAATAGTTTTATTGCTAATTTGTAATTGTACTATAATTTTGCTAGGTGTTAGTTAGCTGTATAACAATTTTTACATAAGCCAAACACACCCTGACAATTTCTGGGTTACAGAGATGTCCTAGCATGCAATACAAAAAAGATACTTTGATAAATTCCATATTACTAACTATTATTTTCATGATTAGAGACTTGTTCTCACAGCTAAGAGAAAGAAGCACCTTGAAATGTGTTACAAACGTTAGGGACCTAACTACTTTACATGTTACAAGCTTGTTATCCTTGAGAGTAATATCTACACGTGTACTCTTTGATATGCAAACTGGTCTTTACTTAGAAGAGAAAGAGGGAAAGGAACCTTGAAATAAAATGATTTAGAGACTTGCTTTACTGGAAAAAAACAAACAACAACATGCTCTTGAATTAGAAATTTTCCTTTATTGTATAACAAGTACAGTCTGATTTTTCATGTTACAGACTTACTCTGACTTCAAAGATATAGGAATATTAAATAATTCCAGATTGAAGACTAGCCCACAGTATTAAAAGAAACAGGCTTTAAGACAACAATTTTTTTCAACATGAAACAGATCTAACCTGCTATTGCTCTGAAAAGAAAGGCATTTTTTGTATAACAGAATTATTCTTGGACTGTATAAAGAAAGAAACCATTAACACATTTGAATACAGATTTTTCTGGACTCTGAAACAATGCCTGATTTCAGTTTTCAATATCATAGTTTATATCATTCTCAGTACAGCATTGACAACTTCATTCTGAACCATCAGGAACCTTTTCTACTTTTTTTTTAATCCAAGCATTATGAAAACAAAAACTTTCTTAGCCTTTAAGTTACAGACTTTCTATATTTTGAAAACAGACACGTGCTCATAATTATTAGATTTCACATGCGAATCACAATTGTATTTTTAAAATACTTCCTTTGATCTTCTGACTTTTTATAAAATTTATGTATGTATACACCCAAGATACTTGTATCTAAAAACATTTTACAATATTTTGATTACTGTGATCACTGCTGCTGGTAATAACATATAATTATAAGTAAGCATGATTATGTATACATATTTTGATAATTATTACATTGTTTATGCATATATATGTACACTTGGAGAACTCTATAATGAACATAATGGATTTATTGCTGAGATGTTTGCAATGCAATTACGAGAGTGTATTGCTAGGCCTTGCTCCCCTCGTTTATCAGAACAACATGCCCGGGCTAATCCTCGTCTGACTCTAGTATATTGGGACACTCAACAGTTGAATTTTATGGTGGATAATTGGGTTCCAGGTTAGAACCTGTTATTCATCTTACCAGATCTCTATTTTCATGGATTCATTTAACTCTCACTAATGTATTGTGATACTCCTCTTCGTGATTTCCAGGAAGTGCCCATTTTTTGACCTTACTAGTTTGCTGGAGTCCCTGAAACTTTCGAAGCTCGATTTTATACGCCACATTTGTAGTTTTCTTTATCGTCATTGGCTGCTTGCCTCTCTTTCCTCCAACGGGTAATTTGGGAGGATCGATCATTCGCGTCTCTAGGCCCACACCTTGAACACCTCATCCTATTGGTTTACAGAATCAGTTCCGTCCTTATTCTCGTGGATCTTTGGAAGGTTGGGATAGTGCCAGTGATGTCAGTATCTACCCATTCAGAAGGTCGATCTCGTTCATCCACGATTCTATTCTCGTCTTTTTCTGGTGACCAAAAACACTAGAGATTGGCATCTTATCATCAATCTGTCTCGACTCAATTTCTTCCTACAGCCTCCTCGTTTCACCATGGATTCTTTTCTTGAACTTCAATGGCACTTCACACCAGATCTTTGGATGACCAAGTTTGATGTTACAGATGCCTACTTTCACATCCCCATAGCAGAGTCTTCTCATCTATTTCTACATTGTTTGCATGAGGACCAGATGCATTGATTCCAAGCTCTCTTGTTTGGGCTTACTTCAGCACCATATGTTTTCTGCTGAGTAGTAAAGGCCATTGAGCAACATCTTCATTTTCTGGTTCTGTGCACACATCACTATTTGGAAAATTGACTTCTTTTGACACCAACCTGTCACATTGCCACACTACATCCACAGATTCTCCTTTCAGAAGCCAGATGGGCGGACTTCATATCAGACTGGACAAATCCATTCTTTTTCCAACTCCATATATGGTCCATCTTTGGGTGTTTTTGAATGCACTCTGAGTCGAGCACAACCTTCTTCCCCTCAGACTTTACACTAGGGAAGGGTTTGTCAGGCATTTGCTTATGTCATCTTCTTCCACTGCATGGATGGTTCTTTCTGTTTTAGGGACTTGGGCTTCCCTAGAATCTATCATACCATTGGATCAGGCCCATACGAGATCCCTTCAATGGTCACTTTGTGGCCTGTGGTTCATGCATACCGATCATTTGGATTACACAGTCTCTTTACTCAAACAATATGCAGATCTCATTTGGTGGCTAGACAGGAACACAAGTATCAGGGTCTGAATAACACCTCCTCGTGTGGAAATCCATCTCTTTGTGGATGCTTCTCTTCATGGATGGGGTACCTTTATTTTGGAGAAGGCATTCCAGGGTATTTTGACTGACTTCGAATCTACCCTGCTTATCAATATTCTCGACCTTCTTGCAGTACATCTAGTGATAATTCCAGGTCTTCCTCTCATATCCGACAAAATGGTTATGATTCATTCTGACTACTCCACAGTGGTTTCATATCTTTCTCATCTGGGAAGTTCTCGGGCTTTAGATCTTCTTTTTTGGCTCATTCCAATGACATCCGTCTTTTGGCTTGTCATGTGCCAGTGGTTATGATTTTGACAGCAGATCACCTTTCTCAACCCAATCAGATTCTTTCACCAGCATTTGATGTTCCATCAGGAGGTCTTTCAACTAATTTGTTCTCATTTTGGCTCTCCAATGATGGAAACCTTTGCAACCCATTGGAATGCTAGCCTACAATTCTGGTCTCCAATTCCACATCCACAAGCTCTGGTGATAGATGCTCTCAGTCAAGACTGGACAGGATTCCATTTGTACGCCTTTGCTCTTATTCCGCTCTTACCCAGACTCTTGTCTATGATTCAATTCACTCCATATTGGGTTCTCTTGTCAGCATCTTTTTGGCTTGCTCAGACATGATTTCCTCTTCTTCAGTTGCTCCTGGAATGTTTACCACTACCTCTTCATTCATCCTTGTTGAGACAACCTCAGTCCAACATTCAATACCAGGACATTTAACAACTCCAGCTTCATGCATGGAAGTTATGCAGTCCTTTACCCGACCATAGGGGTTTAAATTCTACAGTTTCCATTTATTTGACTATATCTTCCATCAACCTATTATGCCAATCTTTCAGTGGAAATGGACTACGTATTGTCATTGGT